AGTCCAATGACGATAGCTCAGATGATAACTTCTGTAAGGATGAGGACTTCAGCACCAGCTCGGTGTGGCGCAGCTATGCTACCCGGCGGCAGACCCGGGGCCAGAAGGAGAATGGATTGTCTGAGATGCCTTCCAAGGACTCTCGCCCCCCAGACGTTGGGCCCCCACGTGTTCCTGTCCCTCCATCGATCCCTGTAGGTGGCTGCAATCCACCTTCCTCTGAAGAGACACCCAAGAACAAAGTGGCCTCGTGGTTGAGCTGCAATAGTGTCAGTGAAGGTGGCTTTGCTGACTCTGATAGCCGTTCATCCTTCAAAACTAGTGAAGGTGGGGAAGGTCACGCTGGGGGAGGCAGAGGGGAGGCTGAGAAGGCTTCCACCTCAGGGCTGGGCTTCAAGGATGAGGGTGACATCAAGCAGCCCAAGAAAGAGGTAAGCAGTGGCAGGAAACTCTTGAGAATTGTGGCTTTTGTATAACTTTTTTGTGGTAACAAACAATGTGGTCTCACCATGAGTCTTTTTTTTTTTTTTTTGGCCATGCCATGCAGCTTGTGGGATCTTAGTTCCCTGACCAGATATCAAACCTGTGCCCCCTGCAGTGGAAGCGTGGAATTCTAACCACTGGACTGCCAGGGAATTCCCTCATGAGTCTTCACATGCAGATTATTTACTTGATGGATATTTCTGTGGCAAATCTGATTAACCTACCCCTAATACATTCCTAGTGTTGGTTTAAAGAACCAAATTATTTTAAAATCAGCCTGCTGGGGGGAAAGTATCTGATTTATTCTAAAGTGAAGGGTTTTTAAGTAATTTTTTTAAATTGCTTTTTCAAGTTATCTACATCATTGCTTTCTTTTATTATAGTAGAATGATCTTACATGAATTGTATAGTAGAATGATCTTACAAGAATTGATCTTACGTGTATTTTTTTTTAAATTATTTATTTTATTTTTGGCTGTGTTGGGTCTTCGTTTCTGTGCGAGGGCTTTCTCTAGTTGCGGCAAGCGGGGGCCACTCTTCATCGCGGTGCGCAGGCCTGTCACTATCGTGGCCTCTCTTGTTGCGGAGCACAGGCTCCAGATGCGCAGGCTCAGTAGTTGTGGCTCACGGGCCTAGTCGCTCTGTGGCATGTGGGATCCTCCCAGACCAGGGCTCGAACCCGTGTCCCCTGCACCGGCAGGCAGACTCCCAACCACTGCACCACCAGGGAAGCCCCCAATCTTACGTGTATTTTTAATGATGTTGAAACTTAGCACATTATAGGTGGTGAACTGTCCCTTGTCCTCATAAGATTCTGCCCATGGTGTTTTCCATGTACATTTTTTAATGCCCTATTGTTGGGAAGGGTTAAAGACCCCTCCCAGGGGGGCTTCCTGATGAGAATGATTGTTACTCTTAACTTGCAGAGTAATTTCTTCACACACAGTCCACTTTAGATAGTGTACCTGTTACTGGCTAATGTCTTTGGAGGTCATTTGAGGTGAAGTCTGTAATCGTTGGATTTGTTATCCAGGACCATGAAAACATTTAACCTTTCAACTTGCTCTCTTTTCCAGGACCCTGATGACCGGAACAAGATGTCAGTGTAAGTGCCTCTCTTTGACCTTTTTCCAAGTCTACCTTCTCTAAAGCCTACAGAAGTAGCCTAAGAAACATGCAGTAACCTGACCCCTCTCATGTCTTCCTCTCCCATCAGAGTTACTGAAAGCTCTAGAAATTATGGTTACAATCCTTCTCCCGTGAAGACTGAAGGACTTCGCCGCCCACCAAGTAAGACTAGCATGCATCAGAGCCGACGACTCATGGCCTCTGCTCAGTCAAACCCTGATGTAAGTGACCTTTCTCAAGCTGCAGCTTACCCAGCTTTCTGTTTTATTCAGTCTGAGTAAACGAACATTCTCACCTCAAGTCCGTCACCATAATTACTGTTACATATCTTATTTCTCTGGCCTTGACTTCCTGCCTCATTTTCCTTCACCCAGCATTTAATCTTGCTATAGTCTGAGCCCCTTCCTGCGTAACCATAGGTAAAAGCAGGGATTCAAAAGGGCCCTCTCCATTTACCCTTATTCCTTCTTTTCACCCTTCCACTTCCCCAGGACATCCTGACACTGTCCAGCAGCACAGAAAGTGAGGGGGAAAGTGGGACCAGCCGAAAGCCCACTGCTGGCCAGACTTCAGCCACAGCCGTTGACAGTGATGATATCCAGACCATCTCCTCTGGCTCTGAAGGGGATGACTTTGAGGACAAGAAGAACATGTCTGGTAGTCTGGAAGAATTTGGGGGGTAGTAGGAAAGAACAAGTTGGAGGGAAAATTCAGATCCTGAGGGTTGAAGCATCTCTGGGAGGGCTCCCTGACTCCCAGCTAAACTGTTAACATCAATGTTTGACACATCCCTTCCCTCTCTTCTTCCCAGTTCCCTGCTCTTTTCCCTCAGCCCCTTTATCCAGCAGATCTAATCCTGCTTGAAAAAAATGCCACCTAGGCTCTTTGCCTCAGAGTCCCAGCTTATTGGTATTCCTGAGCTGCCCTGGGTGGGATAAAAATGGAAGTAGAATGTCCAGTCATGAGGTAGGACAGGCCTGACCCCATTCTTCCTGTCCAGGTCCAATGAAGCGCCAAGTGGCAGTAAAATCAACCCGGGGTTTTGCTCTTAAATCAACCCATGGGATTGCCATTAAATCAACCAACATGGCATCCGTGGAAAAGGGAGAGAGTGCACCTGTTCGTAAGAACACACGCCAATTCTACGATGGGGAGGAGTCTTGCTACATCATCGATGCCAAGCTTGAAGGCAACCTGGGCCGCTACCTCAATGTGAGACCCCTTTCCCTCACCTGTATGTGCTGATTATCCCATGGTCCTCACATTTCTAGTTCTTTTAACACAACTATATAAACCCACCTTTTCTTGTTATTAATTCTTGATCTCAAAGGATCTTTCAAAACTTCTCTGTTGTGATGGGGAGGATCAAATGGCATTTTTTTCATCCAACTCTCACTCACCCCACAAAGCCAGATTCTGTTTCCTTAGTTCTTATTTGAATCTGTCCTTAACCCTATAGCACAGCTGCAGCCCCAACCTGTTTGTCCAGAATGTCTTCGTGGATACTCATGATCTTCGCTTCCCGTGGGTGGCCTTCTTTGCCAGCAAGTAAGAGGGAGTCAGGAAAGGGGATGGTTGGGTAGGAAAAGAAGCCCAAGGTTGGGGAGGGGCAAGGACTACAGAAATTTGAAGGGCCGCTCCTCCATTTGTGATCCAGCGCCACCTGCATGCTCAGTCACCCCAGGTGCCTGGGTTATCTGCTGTTTCACCACACTCCTTCCTTTTCTTCCTCTTTAGGAGAATCCGGGCTGGGACAGAACTCACCTGGGACTACAACTACGAGGTGGGCAGCGTGGAGGGCAAGGAGCTGCTTTGCTGCTGTGGGGCCATCGAATGCAGAGGGCGTCTTCTTTAGAGGACAGCCTTCTTCCTAACCTTCCGAACCCTTCCTGAACTGCCCTTTCCTCAGGAACTGGGTCTTCCTGACTGTTGAATTCTGACCCCCAAGTCTCTAGTCTGGCTACTCCCCCAGCTCCTAGCAGATAGAAATGGGGGTTCTGGATCAGGAGATCCCTTCCACTGTGGTGCTAGCAGGCAGGGCCCCTCCCCCACCTCCTGAGGCATAGAGGTGGGAGAGGTCACCACTCTAACCTGGGCCTGACATCCCTTCAGTCCTCCTGTTGCTCACCCCTCCCATCCTACATTTGTTCATGTGTTCATGCTTCTAACAGACTTTATTCCTAGAATGAGGGCTGTGTATTTTATTATCCCTGGTTTGTATTGTTTCTTGAAAGTCTTTTAACAAGATGTTAAAACTAAGATTGTGATTTGATTTCTCTCCCTCAGCTCCCAATTCTGGGTCTTTTGATGAGAGAGCTGTTTTCCCCCCATCCTTCCCAGTGCGCAGCTGTCATTAATCTTGACCTTTGCTTTTTCTCACTTGCCATCTGAAATTTTTAAATGTTACGTAACCGTGAGGAAGGCATGAGGAAGACTACCTTAGTTTATTTAATTGATCCCTCTTCTCAGTTCTTAAGAGTCTCAAACAATTGTTGCCGTGTTTTACTTAATCTTTAATATATTTTAATTAAAAAAACCATTAACAGTACGTTTTGGTCTGAAGTGGTCCCTCTGCTGAAACGCCAGGCGCTAGCTGTAATTCTGGCTTTAAAACCAAAACCCCAAATGTTTAATAAATAAAAATTAGAACTAGTTGCCATTCTACTCCAAACCAGCTAGCCTAGGGAAATAAACCTTTCCATAAAAGAAGTGTAGTAAGCAACTTCTAAGATGGGCCCAAATCATCCCTGCCTCCTCATGTCCACAACTTTATGTAATCCTCTCCCCCTCTAGAGTGGGCTAGACCTAGTAACTCACTTCTAATGAACAGAATACAGCAAAAGCAATGGTATGTCACTTTTGAGATCAAATTTCATAAAGATTCTTGCTCTCCAGAGAAGTAACAAAACACTGTCTGAGCAGTCCCCACTGTGGCCCCCACTTTTTGGCAGAGGTAGGATAAGGGTCATGTGCACCCTCCTACACTCAATTCATTTGTATCTTAGGAGGGAAAAAGTTAAAAGCTCAGCTTTGGTTTCTGGTCCAAGTTAGGGAGATTAGAAAGGTGAGTCTTGGTCCAACTTTGGCAGAATGAGGCCCACGGGTGGGACAGTAAGGCACGACCCTGGCTCTGGAGGTCCAGGAGTCAAAGGCAGACAGCTAGGGCCAGATTCTGAAGAATAAGGAATGTGAGTTGTGACCCCCACCCCTGGAGCTGAGGCAAGGTCTCGAAAGCAATAGAAAGGACAACTTGGCAAGTAGAGAGGAAAATAAGACCATCCCCGCTCTAACAAGGATATAACCAACCTCCCCTTCCCTGGGGATAGGCTGGTTAGAATTTGGTTTAAAGGCAACTGGGTGAAAAAGCAGCAGGGGCCGGGGCACAGAAAAGAACACCCTCCTCTTGCTTTCTCCTTTCTCCCCAGCGCTTCAAGCGACCCTGTGGGGAGAGTGGGGTAGTTCCTTGGCTTTATGCATTAATCTGAGGGGCAGCAGGGACAACGGTTCAGTCATTCTTACGATGGTTGTTATTGAGGATGGGGTGGCCGTTGGCTAGGGGCCGGCTCTTTGCTCCTCCCCCAGCTGCAGCCTCCTCCCCCTCTGAGCTCTCTGTTTCTTCCCGGTCACTGCGTTCATCTTCTACCAGCTGTGGAAAGGGATGACAAGGGTTACAAACCCCTAAGGACTGTCTCTCTCCGTAGGCTTTTTCCAGCTACACCCAGGGCCCCCCAGTAGTTTTTAGAGGGTTCCTGATACGGGAAGGGAATTTGGGCAGTACTAGAGTTGAGGGGAGTAGGGCCTACACAATGGGGACAGAAGCTTCACCTTTCCAGTTACGAACTTGTGGGCCATGCGCAAAATGAGGTAGGCCCAGAAGATATGCAGCAGCTGTAGCACTCCCATCATGAAATTGAAGAAGTAATAGCCAAAGAAGGCAGGATAGAGCTCCAGTGGGTATACCAGGGTGCAGTGCAGGATCCTTGGGATGAAAAGGGAGAGACAAGAACTGTGAATACAGAAAAGAAGGGGTTAAGATGGAGGATTGAAAATATGGGTGCGGAGCAGGGAGACTCCTGACTTCTTGAAAACAGGAGTATAGTGTGGCCTCCTACTCACCAGAAGGGCAGGATGACCAGTCGGGTGATGATGAAGACAATGGCAAAGACGATGAAGATGTTGTTGCAGGTGTTTTTCCATCCCGCATAGTTAAACATCTTGGCTGACTGTGTAGATAGCCCCATCCATCATGAGCTCCCTACTCTCCCGTATACGTTCCTATGTATGCCCCAGTTACCACATTGGCTCTGTGCCCCCAGCTCCTTGATCCCAGGAACGTCCACCCCACACCACCACTACCCCCCCACCCCCACCCCGCCGTAAATGGGTAGAGGGACAGAAGAACCTGCACCAGGGTCTCTAGGCTTGAAGAAATGCCCAGAAATCCTGACCTCTAGCAGGTAGTCAGAAGAGTCATGCAGAGCCATGATAAGAGTCCCTGCTCGGACGTAACTGGCAAACCAGGAGAAGCTAATGAGGATGATGGTGGCCACGTGGTGGATGATCTGTTCCTTGAAATCCTGTAGAAAAGATGCAGCCTCCAGAGGACCTTTTCCTGGTCCCTAGCCTCCATTCTTCCTCCCCCTCACCTTTAATTCCACTTATCCCACAACTCCATCCAAAGCACCCAGAAGTCAAAGGGGAGGCTATTCATCCCAGGGTTTCATTTTGGCTCCTAGGCTTAATGGCACAGCCCCTTGACCCACCTTTCGCTTGACATCAGAAGCAATGCTGAAGAGCAGGGACCAGTAGAAAGACAGTTCAATCATGTAGTACCAATACTGGGAAGGGATGAGGCTCTGGGAGAGGGGAGAGAAAAGAGGAAGGTAAGGGACCCCAGAGCAACTGGACTCAAGGGTCTCACCTCTCCAAACCCAGCCCTCCCAGAACATGAGGTTATGTTTAGCACCATGACTCCAGTCCTTTCTGTCACATATTCCGAGATCCAATCTTCACAAGAATGTGTATGTCCGAATCCTATCCTACACTGGTTCTCTTAATCACCCCATGTAAGGAATCAGGACCCATCTCGTACCTGTATGGGATATCCCTCCCAAACTTTCCTCATGTCATAGAACCAGGGTTTCTGCAGAGAGATGGTGAGAGGTTAAAGGAGAAGGGACCCAAATTCTGTGGCCTCATCCCACCTTGCCAGAGACTCTACTCCCACCTCCCAGTAATCCCCACTCACGTCTACAATGACAGCCATGCCGGCTATGAAAGCAATCAGGTAAAACGTGAATCTCCAGCTGGAAGAGGAAGCAGAAATAGCTAGGAGAGTGGGACGGGAGAATGGCACAGCCCTCCAACCAACCCCCAAGTACCTCCCTCCAGATAGCCTCTCACGGATATTAATAACCGAATTTCCCTCCTCAGCTGGGTATAATCTCCCTGCATACAGCTATGGCCCACCCCTCCCACCAAAATACATCAGACCTTCCTCTGCCGCCCAGTTTCTCTTGTTCCAACCTCCCCTACCTTGCTTCTCGGAACTTCTTGAGGAGACTGGGCCGGTCCTGGTTGCGGCGGCGGCGGAACCAGCGCTCTACCTGGCGGCCAGAGAGCCCGCTCTGCCGTGACAGAAGCTCTACCTCTGCCTGAGTGTAGTGAAGAAGCCCATTACACTCCGCTTCAGAAATCAGCAGCACCCCCCCCTCTGCCAGTAATGACCCAAGCTGGCCCCACTGCCTTCCCATCTCTTCCGCCACCAGAGCTGGCATTCCAACCCTATCTCCTCCTCACTCCCCACCAGAACTCTTAACTCCCAGAACAGGGTCTGCAGCTCATACCTGTTTGGGCTGCTTGCCACTGGTCAGGTAGAAATGCTCCAAAGTGGGGTTGAGAGGTGCCCGCAGCCGAGTTTTCTCTTTTACATTCAGGAGGGCAGCCAGTGGTGTAGCCACGTAACTGGGGAAGGGATATGAGTGAGAACCGCCTGGCTCTCTTGAAGCACCTCAGTCTCCTGGTAGCCCCTAAGCTAGGGGGCTGGCGGGGTGGGACTGCAAGCTCAGACAACTTTATCCTGGGCCTCAGTTTCCCGGCAACCCCCTCTCTGGCTGCCTTGGGCTGCCCATAGCTGACAAAGCTGCCTGTGTTCACTAGCGACCAGGCGGGTGGAGGGTGAGAACAAATAACCATTGAAGGAAAGGGCCTGGGGGTGCTGAGCCCTCAGAAAGACAATGCTGCCTTCAGTGGGGGGCACACAGTAGGCAGGGACCTGGGTGGTGAGAACACCAGGGTCCAGGGCCAATTACACAGCAAGAGACAAACTTGAAGTACAAGAAACTGTGTGGCTGTTGGCAGCCAGGGAAGGCATAGGGGTATGTTGGTATGCTCACAGCTCAAAGAAGTATCGAATGATGAGGAAAAGCAAGGCCAGGGGTAGTGTGATATAGAGGTCTGAGGCTTTGGCGTAGACACGTCCATCTCGGTCTTCTAGATCAGCCCAGGTTAAGTTCACAGGGAGCCACAGCCGTTCCCACCAGAAGTAGTCATATAAGGTCTGGAGCATCCTGAGTGAGGAAGGGGAAGGTAGAGGACATCAAAGCAGGCAGCAGTGTAAGAAGAGACAGATGAAAATTTTCACAGTGTTAACAGAAAGAGCAGGGGCAAAGACTCAAGCCCTGAGTTTTGGTCCTGGCCAGGTGGACAAATCAGTTTCCCCATCTGAAATATGGTGGCTTTCCAGTTCTAACATTTACTATACACATCAACCAAAGGTGATGCTAACACCCCGTAGAAGTCCTGATTCCCTAGACTTAAGAATCTTGGGGTCTCTCCATCATTTTGCTATCCTCAAGTGGAGGACAGGCAGGATCTGGCCCTAGAAGCTGTAGCCAACAATCTTAACTTAAAGTCAGAGGCATCCTCCCTTCCCCGCACTCTCCAGCCTCCCCCTAGTGCCCCCAAGCAACCCATAACTGGAAGCTTCCTTGCCAGGGAAGCCCAAGAAAGGATTGCAGGGTTGGGGCAAACCCTTCCTCCTCCTTCCCTCTAAGCCACTGAGGCAGCAGGTCCTAGGGAAAATTAAGAGGCCTGAGTAAAGCAAAATTATGCTCCCAAAGAATGCTGAGCTCCAGGACAACCAATGGACATCAAAATATTGCACACAAGATTAATACCCCATGCCAAGCCATCCAGTTCCTAAACATAAGGCAGAAGAACCCTATCTGAAGCCTATCCTCAGAAACAAAATGAAGACAAGGCTTCAGGGAGTCAGGGATTGGGGGACAGAGAGTCGAGACAGCAGACTAAGATATCTGGTAGAATTAGGAGCTGTTTCTTATTAAGGCTCATCTAGAAAATAAAATACTAGTCTGCGTGGGGAACACCCATCACAAATACCCTCATCTAGGAAAGAGCTGCTGCTTTCCCCCGCCTCCCCCCTTTCCTCCACTGAAAGAGAAAGGATCTACAGGGTGTTAGTGACTACCTGAATAGCCGAATGAAGAAGGGAATGATCTGGGGCCCAAGCGGGGACAGCAGCTGCTTGGAGTTGAGAGAAGCAGCAAGATGATCCTTAAGAGACAGTGATGCTGGGACCACACAACACCTGGCAGTCCTGGGACTAAGCAGTGAACCCAGTAGGATGACAAGGGCAAATCTGCCAGGCTCCCGACCCCTCATCCTCCCAGGAGGGAGGCTCGGTGGGTGGTATCCAGGCTGGCCTTGAGACTAAAAGCTGACACAGAAGGAAGGTAGTCCCCTCCCAGCCAGGGAGGAAAGAGAGTTGGGAGATTGTTCTCCGCTGTGAACTGGAGACCAAATGGTGCCGCTCTACAGCTGAAGGCTGATCGTATCACAGCTGTGCTGGGCTGCTCCTCCGACGGCTCCGCCCCCACCCACCGCAGAAGCACTTGCGAAATCCCTCTCAGCCTGTCACGGGTCTGTATTCCAGCTCAAGGACTTTACCCTCTTGTCCCCACTCCTGGTCACTGCTCTCTCAGAGGTCAGCACTGACAGTAAAGGAGCTTCAGCTCCACCCGCCCCCAGCAACACACACACACACACACACTCTCACTCTCTCTCTCTCTCTCTCTCTCTCTCTCTCTCACACACACTCCAGGCCTCAGCTCCTGAGGGTACTGCCCATTCCCCCTCCACCTCAGCCAGAAGAAATACTTAATTAGTTAAAAGAGATGGAAGCCTTTTGCACTGAACAAAATTAAAACACAATTATCCACAGTAGAACTCTCCCCACGCAACCAGGCGCGCACACACACACTTTTTTCCTGGAGAGAAGTTGTAGAAAATTTAGTAGAGAAGGGACAAGGCAGAATGCCTAGATGTGGTGGCACACCTCTGGCTCTTCCTTTCCAACTTTTTTGCTTAGCTTGATTGGAGGTGAGGAAATAGACCTGACCCAGTCACCTCACTGCTATACCTCTTGGAGCCCAACTTCTCCTCCATTGAGGTTTAAAGCCAAGGGCACTGTCAGGCCTAGAAACTGGGTCCCATCCCTGACCCGGCTTCCGGTCAGTGGAAACCAGCAGGGAAGTTTCTCTTGTCACAGATATTGTGAGGCTTAAAGATTCAGAGGGTTGGCTGGGGTCCTGGAGGGTATGAGTAGAGCCCCTCTCCCTGATTCCTGGGGTCCAGGAATGTCTTATGCCAGTCTGATCCCTACAAAGAAGATGAGGAGCTGGGGGAGTAGGCAGAGGGTCAGAGAGAGGTCAAGGGCAAGCACCTGGACAAGATCTCAACTCCAGGACAAGACAGCACCTGTCCCCTTCCTGCTCCAAGCAGGGAGAGTGGAAGATGGTGTGAGCAGGAGAGCATGATGTGTCAGGAGTCCAGAGAGGCAGATTCTGAACTAGGGTTCTCTCACACCTGGGTTTCAGGCTTTCTGTGACCATAGCCCTCCCTTGCCGCCCAGTACTTCCATTGGCAGAGGAGCAACTGCCCCAGCCCTGCCCGTCACCCCCCAGGGCCTAGCCCAGCAGGGAGAGGCACCAGATTCAGCAGGGTCAGGACTTCTGACTCCATGTGAGGGGGAAGGGAGGACAACAGGGGCTCCCAGCCGGCCTCATTTACACTTCCCCACAGAACCAATCAGTCTGCTCCCAGTGGCATCCCTGGCACACCCAGCCAAGTAAAGGGATCCCACAAACAAAAAGCTGGGTCAAGAAAAGGGGATGTTCCCTCAGGATAGGGAGACAACCCTGCTTTTCTGGGTCACGTTACTTAATCTCCTGGTGGAGAAAATCACACCTATAAATATTTTTCCACTTATAGAATTTACTCCCACACACACATGACAAGACAATAGTGTGTGTGTGTATGTGTCTCCGTCTCTCTCTCTCTCTCTCACAGACACACATCCTGACCCAGAGACCCAGACACCACTTTCTGAGGCACAGGCCGGAGAGGGGCCAGCAGAGCGGGGATTTCGTGGGCACTGGATTACCAGCAACTTGAACAGGGCTCTGCCCAGCCCCCAACTTTTGCCCCAACTCTGAGTGACCTGTCCCAGACCCTCACCGATGGACGAAAAGGGGCAGAAAGTCCCCATGGGGGCTTTGTAGACACAGCTGGCTAGGAGGGCAGAAGTTTGAGTCTGTGACGAAGAGATCTCACAGACTCAGTGGGATAACGGTCCCAGCAGCTCTCAGTTTGGAGGAATAATTGAGGAAAATATAACAGGATCAGTAAGTAAGGGAAGAGAGAGTGACAAAGAGAGGGTCCCACAGACTCCCAGCTTCCAATGAAGCCTGAGGGACTACAAAAAAGAAGTGGAAGAGGACCTGAATAGTCCTCCTTGTCGAAAATTTTTTCAGGGAGCAACAGCAGGTCATGAACTAGAAGGCAGCGAGCAATGGATGAAGCCACGAAGAGGTGTGTCATTGCTCCAGGCTGCAGTATAGGTCCCCAAATTTTCGTTTTTCTGGGCTGCCCCACCAGAGGCCCCAACACACCCAAATACTGCATGAGACTACAGCCCCCATGGGCAGGTGGAAGAGGAAGATGGGGGGCAGGAGGGGGGGGTGTGCAGAAGGCACAGTAAAGGATCAGCCAGCCTGTGGCCAGTGACAGGGGCAAGTGGAAGCCCTCCTTCCCCGGGGGGGAAAGCTGGCCAGAGGCCCCAGTGAAGGGAGTGGACTGTGGGGTATCACGGCAGACAAGGAACTCTCTCCCTTCAGAACAGAGGGTGTGCAGGTCACTGTATGGTTAGGGCCAGGCCCAGCGGGAGGAGGCTGCAGACAAGTCCTTACCCTTAGGAGTCCCATCACAAGCACTGTCAGCCACCCACATCAGGCCCAGTCACCTCGACTCTGGTACGGGACAGCAACCCTTCCAACACGGATGTGGGAGGGAGTGATCGCCTGCTGGAAGCCTTCCCTGATTCAATTCTCTGGAAAAAGGGGCTCAATCCATTGCTCAGAATCCTCAGAACCCCCTGCTTCCTGGACCTGTCTACTCAGGTGACAGACCAGATTTTGATGCCAAGAACCTGGCTTGGAAAGTGAACCCCTAAGCTGAGGCCAAAGACTATAATCACACACATGCAATTAACCTACTCTCCAGAGAGCCTCCGGGCCAAAAATTAGCCAGGAGGGGAGGCCCAGAAAACCAGTTTCACCAGAAGCTCCCCCCGACCGCAGCCCCACACACCCCATAACGGTACAAGAGCCTTAGCCTTGGGGGGCCGGGATAGACACTCAGAGCCGCACCTTCCTGTTTCCCGTTAAGCACATGGACGCTCTGACCTCCCTCCCGGAGTGGGCACAGTGAACCGATAAGAAAAAGCAAGACCCTCCACTCTCGTCCCAATCTATAGCCACGGGACCCTCCGGGCCAGGGGCCACGACGCGGGCCCGCAGCCGGGCAGGGGGCTCTCATGCAAGTGGTCACCGGAGCTGCCTACTCCCCAACAAAGGGGCGCCTGGGGCTCAGCTGTCCGCGAGCAGCCCCGCGTCCCCACCTCCCGCCCCCTACCTGTTGCCCAGGAAGGCTCCTCCGGGCTCGGGGCGGCGCGCCCGGGGACGCCCAGGCGCACGGCCAGCCTGCCCTCGGACGGCGCTGGGGGCCCGGCCGCTCCCGCGAGGCGCTCCGGCCCGCCCTCCCCCAGGCCCGCCGCCATGAGCGCACCCGGCAGAGGCCCCGAGCCAGCTGCGGCGCCCCGCGCCCGGGCCCCTCTCCCCTCCTCGGCCCGCTGCCATCCCCGCCGGCCCTGTCCGTGGAGCCGCGTCCTCACGGGACCCCAGTTCTCCCAACTTTTCCGCGCCGCGTCCCGCCCCCCCCCTGCGCGCGGCGCCTCGGGCTCCCGGGAGGCCGTCCCGACTCACTCGGCGGCGGCAGCAGCGGCGTCGCGGAGCTGGCCGGGCCGGGAGCCGCTGCTCCGTCTCTCCTCTCGTCCGAGCTCCGGGCCCCCTCCGGACTGGCTCCGCTCACTCCTCTCCTCCCCCTTCCGCCCGCCTGCCCTCCCGCCCGCCTGCCAGCTCCCTCCCTCTCCCTCCCCCTTCCGCCCGCCCGCCTGCCCGCTCCCTCTCTCTCCCTCCTCCTCCCGCCGCCCG